GGTGGCTCATGTCCAGCTTCTCACCCACCAGAACACCCAAGTCCTTTTCTTCAGGGCTGCTTTCCAGCACAGCATCTCCCAGCCTGGACTGGTAACAAGGATTGTCCCGACCCAGTTGCAGGACCCTGCACTTGGCCTTGTTGGCCCTCATGAGGTTCACCTGGGACCACTTCTCCAGCTTGTCCAGGTCCCTCTGGATGCCATCCCGTCCCTCTGGCACATCAACCTCACCACTCAAATGCCAGTAATGCCAGAAATGAACCTAGAAGCAAGCTGGAACTCACTGCCCTACTCTTAAGCGAGGCCAGACCAAATGTTTCTTGGTCACTTCTGAAACCCTGACTTAGCAGCACAGCCACATGTGCTGCCCCACGCTTCACCACTGCTCCTCCCTAAGCTCTGCTGCAGTCTGGAGCTGAGTTTATGAAGTTGGTCCAAAACCTGCTCTTCCTCCCAGCAATCAGCAGTCAGGGACCACCAACACATTCCAAGAGTTTGCTCATCTGGCTTTTTGCTCTCAGAATCTACTGTCATAAGGTGAGATTTACTCAAGGAGGGAAGACCCCCTCTCCTCCTGCCTCCCTACTTCTTGTACTCTGTCTGACAACTGATCTGCCCCAGCTGCTGTGCAACCACAGTGCCTTGCAGATTCTCTACATCATCTCTATCGGCTGCACCAAATAGGGAAGAGCTGATGGAAATGCAGAAGCTAAACTGAGGAAATCCTCAGCATTTCCTGATCGTTAACCTCAAGATTCCCAGAACTGCAGCAGCGTGATTTACCCAACACCAAAGCGGTAACGGACACAAACTGGAACACAGGAGGTTCCACTTCAATTGGAGAAGAAACTTCTTCTCAGTGAGGGTGACAGAGCACTGGCCCAGGCTGCCCAGAGAGGTTGTGGAGTCTCCTTCTCTGCAGACATTCAAAACCCGCCTGGACGCCTTCCTGTGTAACCTCATCTGGGTGTTCCTGCTCCGGCAGGGGGATTGGACTGGATGAGCTTTGGAGGTCCCTTCCAATCCCTCACGTTCTGGGATTCTGTCTGCTTCACCCCCCTACAGAAACTGCACAGCAAGAGCTGCCTGGTGGATTTCTCCAACACTTACCAAGGTAAACGTCATGCCCATGACTATTGGCACGAAGATGAAGTTAAAGGTGGTGATCTGGAGCAGACAGCAATCCTGATCCGGATTTGTATGCACCTCCTCATACTGAATCGGTGGCTGAAGACCTTTGCAACACTTGCTCTTAAATCTGGGAGACTTGAAAGAAAGAGAGGCTTCTTTAGTCAAGCAGGAACCTGTGGGAGAATTTGGCTTCATCTCACTGGTGCTCACCAGGAGGTTCCTACTGCATTCCCACACGTTAGGGCAGAGAAACACCAAAAAACCATCAAAAAAGGAACACCAAAACACAGAAACACCAAAACCAATCACTCCGGACAGGCAACTTGTGGGACTGCTTCTTTCAAAGGAAATGCTGAGAAATTCAAAGGTTGCCTGAAACTACTTGCTTCTTTTTCCCCCCAAGACCTATATTGGAAGTTTTCATTGCCAGTGCTGGCTTTCTTCACTTCTGTGGGAAATCTTTCCAATGGTAAAACAAGAAGTTTCAGATTTTGGTCTGTATTTTGACCACTAAAATCAAATAGTCTGGTTTTTTGGTAGTAATCAGTAGTGTTGACCCAAAGATTGGATTATTTGGAGTAGCAAACGATCCACATCTTACAGTGGAGAAAGGATACCAAATGAGGAAATAAAAAGATAGGATTCTAAATATTTTGGCAATACAGACTGAGAACTGAGCATCGTTTCCGAATGTGCTTTAGTTTATCATGGAAGTCGGAGTTCCCGCTTACTGTCTGAACACATAAAAAGTTTCCCACCTTCCTTTCTACCACCCAGAAAAGTAATTACTGCTTTAAAAAAGTCACGGCCATTCTGGTTCTTCTTCCATACCTGCTTCTTGAACTTGAAGTTGAATTCCCACATCGCTTCTTGTCTGCTCCCTTCAATCTTTTTGCACCAGAAAAGCAGACACTGAGGTGGAAAAAAATAAATAAATAGATTATGAAACCCTTAGAGGCACCACTTTAAATAAGTTTTAGCAGAGCATAAAGGCTTCCAATTACAAATGCAATTACATAGAAGCAGTTAGGAGCCATTTATTCAAATTAATTATGTTCAAAGAACACGCTCAGCAGTTTACGTCTCCCAGTTTCGTGCAACTGGATGATACAACACGCAGCCACTGACGCGCTACAGAAACATCCCGTTGTGCAATTCATCCCTTCCACAAAGCAGAGACGAGTGGAGACTTGCCTGCTTCCCTCCACCCATCAGGAAGTCCCGTTAAACCGGAGTCTAAACAAGATTAAAGTGAGGAACAACTGAAAACAGAACAAGGAGCAAGGAGAGAATTGAGGAAATGTGAAGACTGATACGTGAGCTATGAGATGACAGGTGAGAAAGTTTCTAAGCCATTGTGGTGGCAAAAAAAAGGTCTTGAGATCACCAGGCACTGACTGTCACACTTCAGAGAATAAAGCCACTGCCAGGAGAGCACAACCTACTGCTCCTGTTTGAAAGAAAATGAGAAAAGGGCCTCAAACAGCATCAGAGGTGACCAGCACTGCCCTCTCATGCAGACACACAGAGTACACCAGTTTAAACCCGTTATCACTGTGTGGTCCACAGGAATCCATCCCAGAGTCTCAGCAGAACTCCTATATTAACTGAGTAGGAGGAAAATTCCCTGCCTACCAGTAAGGAGAAGCAATCGGCCTCCAACAGCCAAGAAAATCATCTGGGAAATCAGTCCCAGCCATCACTGAAAGCGTTTCCACACCACAGATGCCAGCCCACCACAGCTGGTCTTATCTTCTAACAGTGTCAGCAGCAAAAGGAAGAATAACATGGATAAAGACAGCTCCTCATGACCCATACACCGTCTCTCCCATGCCAAGAGAAGGTCTGACCGCGTTGCAGGGTGAAGCACACGTTTAATTTCATTCCAGGATACCGCGACCCCAAATGAAACCAAGCCAGAGCCAGCCTCCACCAGGGGGGCTCCAAAACTAGACACTGCAGTGATACCAGATCCTTTACTTCAACTCTGAGTCATGTCCGTAAACAAGAGTCCTTGAAGGACTTCAAACTTCGCGAGGTGAACAACAAAGCCACGTGGAGTCAAGCTCAGAAACACACATCACATAACCACCACCCGGCTGGAGGTGGCCCTCAGTTTTTGCTGATAAAAACATTCTCCACTTCTTTTTGAACTCAGGTGAGCAGCAGATGCTGCCGAGTTTAACTCCACCATTGGTGGCATTTGTAGTTCACCCGGGCTGGCAACTTGTTTGGTCATGGCAAGTAGTGAAGCACAAAATGGTCAGTACCTCCTAAGGGGCAGAGGATGTCGTCCACGGGTCAGCCGTCCTGCCCTTCAGACGCGCCGTACGGCCTGCCGCTCCACCAAAAATAATGGGGGTGTCTTTAAAGGGCAAACACTTCTGCTGACACCATAACGGCCTGCCGCTCCACCAAAAATAATGGGGGTGTCTTTAAAGGGCAAACACTTCTGCTGACACCAAGAAAAAAGGAAATTAAAGAGGAAAAGCTAGATTTGATCACACTCGGGTCTGGGGTCTCCTCTTGCCACATGCAGTTTATGTTGGCATTTGCCATTAGTTTCAACGACCCGTAAAGGTATAACCAAAACCCAGGAAAGCAAGAACGTGGGGAGGCAACATCAGATCCTCCTCCGTACCCACTGTGCTGGGGAATTTCTGTGCACAGTAACACAGGCGGAGCCGAGTCTTGCAACGCAGAAGTACAGCAAGACCACACTCAGGATGGCTCTTTTATGCTCCAAAGGGTTAGGTCAAACCTCTACTTCTCTAACAAAGCTTTGCATCATTTAATTTCCTTTTTTAAAAGCTGAATAATAAAAGACTGCACTTTGAGAACCTTCCTTAAACCATTAGTACAGTGCAAGCACTAGCAGTGGGCACCAAAGCCGTTATGATGTCAATGCGAACGCTTCCAAACCGCTGACCCTGCCAGCATCACATCGGGGTTTCTGGCTCTTACAGATCCCAGCAGTGGTAGAAAAATCAGACTCAGAAGGACCAAGGTTAAGTTGGGCTTTCCTAGAAATGTTTGGCTTTTTGTTTTTAAAGAAAGATGAAACTCAAAGCGGGGATTCAGGAAGAGAATGAAGAGCTCTGGATGCAGAGATGAGACCACAGAGAACCGCGTGCTTTTCTCCTGCTCTGCAGCACCACCTGCTTGTGTCACTGCTGGATGCTCCCTAAGCAATACAACATTTCTGTCCAGTATCCACCCAGAGAGAGGAAGGAAGAGAGGAGGGATGTCACACACAGATAGTTGAGGTTGCTCGATTTTGCATGGAAAAGTACAACTCTTGAACCAAAACCACTTCGGTTTGGCTCCAAAAACCTCCCTCGGCAGGTTTTTGACTTTGGATTTGGAGGGTAAAGAATTCAGACCTTTGCTTAAGCTGCTCACGTAGTATCAGCCAGTTGCAAGCTAAAATCAACCAAGAGACACAGAGGCATTTCAGAGTTAATGGTCAACAGCGATTAAAGAGGAACGGATATGCAAGTGCTCCAAGCTGGGACAGCAAAGGGAATCGCCCGTCCACATCAGAGACAAACCCTTTACAGCACAACTGCAGCCCCAGTCCCGAAGCAGACGTTTGCTCTGCACATTTGCCATGCTCAAACCTCGCCACCCTCCCTCACCCAGACACCAAAGACGATGCATGACCTACAGGAATGTAGGATGAAATGACTCCCTTTCAGAGGCTATCAGTGTCACTTCTCATCTCTCCAGATGCCTGCTATGGAGAAAAGATGTATTCTGGCAGACAGTGTCAGAATAAAGCAGAAGATAGAAAAGCTGATCCTGCTGCAACCTCCTTTCAGCAACTAATTTGCAACAGAGGAAGGGGCAGCTGCAAATATGCCAAGCAGTTCTGATAATCAGTGAAGCAAGTGCCTTATGCTGATTACAAAGCTGCTGTGGTTGGACTTAGGCAGAAGTTACCCAGGGAAGTAGCTAAAATCCTCTGCAGCAGCAACCCTACAGATACAAGTAACCAGCATCCTTTTAAAAGGAGTCAGAGTCAGAAATCATCCTACACTCAAGCTTCACTGGCAACCATCTACACATCATCTATTCTTCTTCAAAAAAGAACAGAAAAACATAAAGAGCAACATCTCAGACATATCCAACGTCCTTAGCAATTCCACTTACTCTGGAATTCTTTAAAGTGCTGGGAGTACTGTCTGGAATAGCCGGATTCCTGGAGACTCGAGAGGCGAAGGGCTCGTACATGTGGTACAGCGACCGGATGACGCACGCACGGAGACAGTGCAGCTTCTCCATGGACTCCGGCCGCAAGCGGAGAGGCAGGTACGCGTCCAGACTGTAATGCCTGAAAAGCCAACGACAAACCCACCACGTGCTGCAGGGTCAGAATGCCAGAGATGTGCACAAGGGATCGGTGCTGACAGAAAACTACACACTTGATTGATTGAGAAGAGGACCTCTTGTCAACTCTGAGTGTTTCAAGGTTGCTGTGCTGCTCTATGTGAAATCACGTCACAGGCTCAAGATTTTACCTGCACCAGACAGGTTTCCAGCATATGCATAAGCACGTCCGCTATAATTCCCCAATAATTCCTTGCAGATGGTTTCCCCAGACACCAGATGGTGTTTTAGCTGCAGGAACCACAAAGACCTGCAAATTCCTGCAGGTTCTCAAGGACTCGCTGTGGCTGAGCTCGACTGCACACTTGCAGACAACTGCCTGAGCAGTCTGAACGCCTGCACTCGAGGGCCATTCCTTCATCAATGCCAAAGGAGCCTTTGCTAGGGAACTTCATGCTAAAAAAAACAGGGGTGATGATGACCATGGCTGCTGTTTGCTCTGCACCTCTGCTGCTTGTGCCTCCTGGGCGACAGACACAGAAATGTAAAGAAAATGTTCTGCATTGAAGGAAAGCCAAATTGACATGCACCAGGACAGGAAGGTTTATTTCAAGTTTTAACCACTTTTTGCTCTTCTCTTACTGTATTTACAAATTTACTTCTGCAACTCAGTTTCAAAATGCCTTCGTTTCTCCCATGCCACCCTAATTACAGAAAGGTGCCCAGGACCAAAGCTTGAGGCAGGACAAGTTTTCTATCCATGATGTTTGCCTGACCATACTGTAAGTAATTTGAGTGCTCAACACACCGAGCAGACTGTTACAAACAGGAGTGTGTAGGCCATGGCAAGCAGAAAAGCACACGATGCTTTGAAGTTTTATATGGAGCATATGGGAACATGCCACAGATCCATTCCAGATCCAGAGCAGATGTGATGTACCACAGCCCCCAGCCAAACAAGCCCCACATCACCTTGTCAGTATGAAAACATTTCAGGTCCCAAGCCTCTAGGGAAATATTCCCTCATTTACAGCACTGCAGAGACATGGTCATTGCTGAAGCCTCCTACAGATAGTTCCAAAATCCTCTGGAGTCTCACCTTCTGTAGAGCCTGGTCCAAAAGGCAGCAGTGCAAGTCACAGTCCAGGCCTTCTTGCAAATCAAAGAAAACCGGACAATGTCTTCAGGGCGAATGTAGGAAGCCAAGAGCAGCCAGATATCGATGGGGTATTCCTCTCCGCCACCCCCATCAGGATTTTCTAAACACAGCAAAGATATGTTAGCGTGGTAAATAACCTCTTTACTAGATCACATCTAGAGGCATGTCCTTTACTAGTGGTAGCACAGGGTAAGCATCCAAAATATACATACAGTCACAAGTTAATACAGCTCCATAATCACCGCTATGGGTTTCCATCAGCATTTACCTGCCCGTCTGCAAAACCATTACACTTTCCCTTTGCTGGACATATGCCATCATTTTTCCCTACTGTTTGCACAAATATGGATAGTGGCAAATTCAGAGAATAATTCAGGCTGAAAGGGCTCTCTGGAGGTCTTGAGTCCAAACAGCCCAGCTCAAAGTAGGTTGAATTACATCATTTTATTAAGATCTTGTCCAGCCAAGTTCTGAATGTATCTAAGGATGGAAATCCCACAGCCTTGTTTCAACCCTTTCACAACTGAAACAACACTTCAAGGGAGAAATAAAAATTGGATGGCAAATACAGAGGCAACTGTATGTAAATCAGGGCCAAGCTCATGCATTTTTATCAGAACAGCTCGTTTACCAGGTCATCAAAAAATGCTTTACACCAGAAATCCCCGAGATGTTGCCGAGCCTGTCAATTCTTTCTTCAAATGGTCACAATATTTTTGTAGGAGCTCTGCTAGGGAGGCAATGCAATTCTCTTCTAACAGCTAATCAGCCCCTTAAACTGCAGTTTAATTAAAGCTTCTGGGATGGGAAACTCTCAGTGCAGTTCCCAGATGAACAGAATGGCCTGTTCTTCCTCTCCGAGGTGTCAGAACCGCTCAGCCAGAACTGAGGAGTCAGAAACTCCTTTCACTCCCACGGTGTTTTTAAGTTAACACCACACATTTTTCCATAGACGTTGCTCCAACTTCAGGAGAAAAAGATACTTTTAAAGGACATAAATACCTAAACAAGGAACATTAGGCAAATAGAAAGGAAACACACAACTTGTACACAGTGCTAACAGAAAAAAACGCTATGAGGTTTGTGAACAAGTGGCACAAAGGAGGTGTTTAAGGTGCCAGATCTAATCCTGCAGCAGCAGGTTAATAACAAAGGGCAGTACTTTATCCTCCTGTGATAATTGCTGTATTCGGTGCCAAAGAAAGCTCTGGCTGTGATTGCTTCTCTACACCACTACAGAGTAATGGCAAACCCACCCACTGGGCTGTAAAACTCACTCTGCTGCTTCAGCTCTGACTCAGGAGGCCAACAAACTGCACCTCTGCAGAAGTATCAGCGGTCTATTACTATTTTTCATTCCCTAAACACATAGCAGAAATAAGGACAAGGTTGTGGTAGAACAGAATACTGCCTTTCCAATAACTCCCAGAACTCTAGCCACTGGGATATTCTTATTTTCCCAGAAGTCCCAAGGACATCTTAATAAAGAAATTAAACTGCTATCCCAGAGGGTCTGTGCATCTACAGCTCGTAGTGGAGGTTCATGTGTTACACAAAGTAGTATCAGTTAAATAAATAAAGTTAAATTTTTCTTAAGTTTAAGAAGCCAAGTTAAAATTTCTCTCTTAACCTAAAAGAAAAAGGGAAGGGATCCATCCAGAGGGTCCTGGACAGGCTGGAGAGGGGGGTCTGTGCCAACCTCATGAAGCTCAACAAGGCCAAGTGCGAGGTCCTGCACCTGGGCAGGGGCAATGTCAAGCATAAGCACAGTCTGAGCAGAGAATGGCTCGAGAGCAGTCCTGAGGAAAAGGTTGATGAAAAACTCAACATGAGCTGGCAATGTGCGCTTGCAGCCCAGAAGGCAAACCACATCCTGGGCTGCATCCAAAGAAGTGTGGCCAGGGGTGCGAGGGAGGTGATGCTGCCCCTCTGCTCTGCTCTGGTGAGACCTCCAGCACTGCATTCTGGGGCCTCCAACATAAGGCAGCCATGGAGCTGTTAGAGCAGGTCCAGAGGAGGCCATGAAGATGCTGAGGGGCTGGAGCAGCTCTGCTATGGGGACAGCTGAGAGAGTTGGGGTTGTTCAGCCTGGAGAAGAGAAGGCGCTGGGGGGACCTTAGAGCACCTTCCAGGACCTGAAGGGGCTACAGAAAAGCTGGGGAGGGAATTTTTACAAGGGCAGGTAGTGACAGGACCAGGGGGAATGGCTTTAAACTGGAAGAGGGCAGATTTAAACTGGATATTAGGTAGAAATCCTTCCCTGGGAGGTGGTGAGGCCCTGGCCCAGGTTGCCCAGAGAAGCTGTGGGTGCCCCCTCCCTGGCAGTGCCCAAGGCCAGGTTGGACGGGGCTGGGAGCAGCCTGGGCTGGTGGAGGTGTCCCTGCCCATGGGGGTTGGATTGGAGGGGGGCTGTGAGGTCCCTTCAACCCAAACCACGCTGTGATTCTATAAAAAGCAACCTGTTACTAGAACCTCTTGCAGATTCCACAGTGCAGCAGAGCTGTTTGTTACTTACACTGTGTTGCAAACTGCTTTCTATAGAGTTTCTATAGAGTCCCTGGAATTAACCTGCTGTGATGCCACTAGGGCCAAATTCACTCGCTTGCTGGAAAAACAGTCCTTTAAACCTATTTGTAACAAACCACAGCTTTGGAAACATCCTGAAAACAGCCTGGATTTTGCCAACAAATGCACCCTGGAGAACAGCGTTGGTTTTTTTTCCCCCAGAGCAAATCCTGCTTTCACCAACATTGTTCAATGAAGTAACACATCCAGTGGCAAAGATTCACAACTCTCTTGAAGAGCAGCACTCGTCTTCCAAGGTTGAGAGATGTTTACTGAAAGCTCTGAGGCTGTGATTTCATGCCCAAAGCTCTCCCTTTGTGAGAGGACACCAACTCTGCCTGAGTCCCAGCAGGTTTAAAAGCCCTTTAACCCTTGGCAAAAGGGCAGACCCTTTCCTTGTACACACACAAGTTACAGAACGACCAGAGAGCCTCTTGACTAGTGTGTAATTAAGAATTATAGCAATCATTAATATCATGCACGCAGAAGACACAGAAGCAACCCGTAACCCCCCAGCAGAGGCTGGCGACCACACCTTTGTGCCTTTTGCTCTTCTTTTTCCTAGATGCAGTTCGCCCGTTGATGCTTTCCTTCGTATCCATCTCATCGCTGCTGTCACAAGACTCGCCCGACACAGAGAGAACTTCCTCAGCAGGGACACACGAAGCTTCCAAACCACAGAGGGATTTTACTAAAATGACAAGAAACGACACAGTAAGTACCACCAGCAGAGACAAAAAGGTGATCCAAGTTCAGGAGATCCTTCAATGCCACAGTAACGACACAAGCAAGTAAATCCTGGGCTGGAGGATTACCTTGTCAGAGGAAGATTAGCACGGGCAAGTGAATTGGAAATATAATTATTCAGCTGCTTGTTTTAAGGAACAAACAATGAGGACGATTACCAGCACATTATGCAGATGATCCCACTGGTTTGGCTGAAGCTGTTTACAATTGTGACTAAAACAACAGGCGCTTTTTCTACAGCGCTAACTGGTTCCCCTGCATACCAGAGCACGAGCAGCGTTCAGAGCCAGCACCAACACTGCAGTTGTGTGAGGACGGAGAAGATACGCTCCCTCCTCAGCAGGATAAAGAGATCCTGTGGCCAATGACACGCCATCCATCAGCGATACAACTCGGTGCCAAGCACACAGGAGCTCCGCTCATCCCAGAATTTAGTGAAGGGAAAGACTCTGGACTCCTGAGGAAAATTGCAAGTTGTGTCAGTTGGGTTTTGGGTTTTTTTGCTGCCTCTGGGGAGATGTTCAGACACATCCCTGTAGGGAAATGTAACTTTTAAAACTTGATCTGCAAACTGAGGGCTCATTAGGGTAAAAAAATCCACGTATGAGGCAGTAATGTGACAGTTTTGAAAAAGAAAGGTGCAGTTCTGTCACAGCTGCGTGAGGCTCTGCCACAGAGAGACCAGCACTGTAACAGCAGCACAGACACTTTGCTAATAGTCTGTAAAATTCATTCAAGTAAGTTGAATTTCAGCCTCATGTGCTTAGATGAAGAGAAGTACTTCTAAAACAAGGCACCTGACCACACCATAAGAGGATTGCACTGCTCAGGCTTTTCTAACCCAGCACAAACTGCAGCCCAGGAAGGTTTTATACCTCAGTTACAGTCACCAGAGCCCCTGGAGAGCAAGATGTGCTATCTGAGTTAAAGGGACAGAGTGACAGGAAAAATAAAAATATCAGGAACTGCCCATAAGTTGACCGTACCCACTGACTAGAGATACCTGCAGTGCTTTGCAAAACCAGTTCTACCTTGCTTTGCACAGCTCACTCTGCAAACTGTATGCATTTGCTTTAGTGGTATCCTACACTGTCAAACCTTACTAAGGCAAAAGAGAAGAGAAATAAATGGCACCACGAATGGCAGTAAGTTATGACATCAAATGCAACCAAGCAAGAGAGGACGACAACTGACAGAGACCCAGAGAAGGGTTTAGAAAAAGAAACCATTGCACTCTGCAAAGGAAATGCCAACATCTGTCAACAATACAAGCCCATGCACACACAGAATCACACTGCACTGCACCCTTGCAGAGAGGCACCCACTCCTCAGTCCATAGCATAAATCCCCACCAATCCCTAGGGGTTAGGACTGGGAGGATACAAAGCTCAGGAAAATTCCACCTGGCCTTTGCTCCCCTCCCCAGGAAGCTCCTCCCTCGCAGTGGCACTCAGTGCCACGGTGCCAAGAGACACAGGAGGCGAGCAAGGCCAAAGGCTAAAGCTTCCTCAGCAGAGGCTCCTGTCTCCTCCCACTGCCTGCTGTCCCCAGGCTGCACCAGATAAGGCTGCACCATGCATCAGGACCGCACCAGATAAGGCTGTGGCACCACACGGGGCTGGGGAGCAGAGATCTGGAGAGGGGAAAGCCCCATTGACTCTGCACTGAGGAAGGCGTGAGCAGGGAACTGTTGTGACCAGTGAGGAGGTGAACCAGAGAGCAGGATTTTAAGAGAGGGGCTAAGCCAAAGCAGGTGAAGGAAAAGACAGAGTATGCCAGATCCAGTGCTGAATCACAGCAGTGAGAGAATTACAGAAGGGTGAACAGGAGAGGGATGGGGAAGAGAGAATCACAGAATCACAGACCGTTAGGGATTGGAAGGGACCTCCAAAGCTCATCCAGTCCAATCCCCCTGCCGCAGCAGGAACACCCAGATGAGGTTACACAGGAAGGCGTCCAGGCGGGTTTTGAATGTCTGCAGAGAAGGAGACTCCACAACCTCTCTGGGCAGCCTGGGCCAGGGCTCTGTCACCCCCACTGAGAAGAAGTTTCTTCTCCAATTTCAGTGGAACCTCCTGTGTTCCAGTTTGTGTCCGTTACCCCTTGTCCTATCATTGTTTGTCACCGAGAAGAGCCTGGCTCCATCCTCGTGACACTCACCCTTTAAATATTTATAAACATGAATGAGGTCTCCCCTCAGTCTCCTCTTCTGCAAACTAAAGAGCCCCAGCTCCCTCAGCCGCTCCTCAGAAGGGAGATGCTCCACTCCCTCCATCATCTTTGTAGCCCTACGCTGGACTCTCTCCAGCAGTTCCCTGTCCTTCTTGAACTGAGGGGCAGTAACAGAAGAAGCCCCCAGTCTGTTACAAAGGGGGCAACCAAAGAGGGAGGTGTCCTGATCTTAAAGGCTTGCAAGGTAACAGCTAAAAAGGATTTTCACCACCATCACTGCCCCATACAATTTCCCCATGACAGGCACTCGTGCAAAGAGCATATTTTCTTTAAATGTGTAGGAGTTAAGCAACATAACAAGTGTTCCTCTATGACAGGTTCTGTCGTCACTGTCCATGTAATAACATTCACCTCAAAGAAGTGTGACAGGCTAGATTTTAAGGCCTAAACATTAACAGTTCTCAAGTAAACAGGGTGTGTTAGTTCAGACTGCTCCCAGCCACTAAAAACCAAGGAGGAAGTAGATAACAAAGTAATGCAATACCAGGAAACAGCTTGTTTGTGCAGTTCACCAAGGAAACAGCAACACCCTCAGAAGACCTCCCTGTAGCTTGCAGCACACGGTGAAACACATTTGCCACAACTACCACAGCCTTATTCCCACTGCAAAGAATTTTCCCTGCTCATAAGATTTTCTACAGTTCTATGTGTGTAATGAAGACTCCTGTATGTTATTTTTTACTTCAAGTAGGAGATAACACCCAACAGTTAATGGAAAGAGGCTTTCCATTTCAGGTACTAACAGAGATCCTGCAACTCCTACCAGGCTTCTGCTTTCTGCAAAGCCTCCTAAGATCCTAAAAACCTGATTCTGCAGAGGAATAAAGATTCATTTTCAGGCACCAAATCAGATTTTCTCAGGCCATGGAGGGGCAGTTTCCCACATCATGCAGAAGCCAGTAAGAGGGGAGGCAGCCTGGGTAAAGCAGGCTCCCCAGTGTAGACTCACCTTCCTGTTGAACTGCATTGGCCACAGCCTTTTTCACCCGTCCAGATTTCACAACAGCTGGGTCTGAGTTAGCATAATCTGCCACCGTCACTGCGGGAGTCGGGAGACAGGGCATCAGCGGGATTATGGATTAGAGAGATGGCAACGGAAGGCCTAAGAGCCACGATCCCTCAGGAGGACACTCCCCATAGGAAGGGAGGCTTGAGCAGGAGATGCACAAGCAGGAAAAGGAGCCCCAGCAAAGAAGTGTGGACCAGTAGCCCCAGGCTGGCCACTACTCCAGCCCATCGGGCTACCAGGCCCAGGGCACCCACCCCCTGCCCAGTTCTCCCTCCACCTCTACCAACGCCAAACTCACACCCCCCTCATGCAGAGC